AAACTAATTAAAAGTATATTTAAACGCAAACCAAAAAATATTTTTAGTCAAAAACAGTTATAACTGAGTTATTGTCTGTAGTTTTATGTCAACCGAGACTAATAAGTATCAGTTTTTGACCCAATTTTACCCACATTTGTTACGAGAGAAAACACAGTTAATCACTATAATATACTCTATTATACGGGGATGTTTTTTACACACACCATTTTTTCCTGAATAATAAATTACCATCACCATGCCATAATAAATCACAACAACACACACTCGCACTCACTCACACACTGTCACACCCGCACAGATACCGGGCGATACTGCACCCATTGAGGGCGCGTATGACCGAGATGAACACCAGGCTGATCATCACGGTGATTTGGTTCGTCTCGCTGGTCACACCACTGCCCACAGCCATACTCTCCAAATTGAAGCGCCAGTTGAATAGCACACACTTCACGTGCAACGAGGACTGGGACGACATCGATAAGCGATACTATTATTCCGTGGCTCTAATGCTATTGCAATACGCGTTCCCGTTGTCTGTACTCATCTACACGTATATGAGAATAGCTGTCGTTGTGTTCGCCAAACGGACGCCCGGAGAGGCCGAGGACGCCAGGGATGCCCGCATCAGGGCCTCCAAGAGGAAGGTAATTAACCGCACAGTACTTCACATAATGTGTATACTCTATGTAACATAAATATAGTTAAATGTATAGCACTGCCACTCTAGTCGAGAGACCCATTTCCGCCACATTAAGCCTAATTATGTTTACTATTTCTTGTGGTAATTAAGTTTCAGTTAAGATGTAATACGATATTATAGTTACTATATGTGTTGTACACTATATCTCTGGCATATAATGAAGTAATTTAATTATAGGATTTAATTTTAGGTTTTGTTTCATGTGTGAAAAATAGGATATTCTGCACAGAATTTAATTTATTTATATTATTTCTTGTGATTAAAGCCTCTCTCTCTCTCTCTCTCTCTCTCTCTCTCTCTCTCCAAACCTTAACATACAGTTCAGTTCAGTATAAGTTAAATAAATATTATTTGTTTTGTTTAATATAATCTATTAAAAAAAGTTATACACAATTCCTTACAGCCATTCGCTATCAAATAGTTTATATTATAAATGATTGAGACGTTAAATGTGTTTATTTATTGACTTATAATAGTATTGTTATGAGAAATAAATGGTATAAATATAGAAACAGCTTTTAATGATCGGTTGAATACAATTTTTAGCCCAAATTCTTTACATTTGAAAAACTTTTGTATATAAAAATTGTATTGTTTTTAGGCAAAAACAAATATGCAATATATTAACCCCGATTATTTATACATATCCTAAAAAATCCTAAAAATAACCCTAGATGATCAAAATGATGATGATCTGTGTGCTAACGTACGCTGTCTGTTGGCTGCCATTGAACACGATTAATTTAATCGGCGACCAAATGCCCGATATATGGAAATACAAGTATATTATGTTTATATGGATATCAAGCCATTGGCTGGCAATGAGCCACTCCTCCTATAATCCCATTATCATATTTACCATGAATTCAAAGTTTCGCTTATCATTGAGACAATTGCTGACAACTGAGAGGTCGATCACTTCCAGGAGATCCACGCGTAACACGAATAACACGCCAACCATTTTGGCCACAATTCATAATCACCTTCAGATCAGACAATCCATTTGATTATACGATATAATTTATATCTCCTCTCATTAAATCATTAGGATATTTATTTATTATCATACGTTAATTTATACATGTGTTTACTTTGTTAATAGCCATACATTACAGTTAATATTCATTTGTTGATTATTTTTATAATCATTTTTATACTAAAAACAAATAGTTTAATAAAATAATTTATTGAAAATTCATTAATTATTCATTACTTTTAAATAAGATTTTAATTAAGGTTTTAAAATAGAGTTAATTTTATCTGAAATAATTGTCGACACATTTTAATGAATTAACAAACATTTTACTCAAATCAAAATCATATTTAAAACAATTTAAATGAATTCAAAGTAAACTTTCTGTTAATTCCCTGAAGAGCTAATCGCCAGCGCATATAAGTCAACAAAATTTTAAAGTTTTCAATCGGATTGACTCCCATCTGGACGTTGTTGAACAGCCAAACCATATCATCCATTTTCATACCCAACTTAGAGAGCATATCGACCGGATCTAACGGCCGAAGCACTGGTTCAGGTGTCCAGTCCTTTGCAAACATGTCGTACACCAACTGAAGTGATCGTCAAATGTATATTAATTATACATAAGTTATATATTACTGGCAAACCTTATGGACGCCATTCTTCTGGATTGCTTTCTTGAGTCTCTTTTCGGATATCATTTTTCGGACACAAAGTCTTTGAGGTTTTGTTTTGATAGAAATGTTTCGATGAAAATACAATTCAATGAATTTTCAACTAATTTTGTGAAAATAGTGTTTGAGTTACTGTTTGTATGAAAAAGTATGCTTTTATACATTGAGTGTCGCATGAATTGAATGCAAAATTCTAGTCTTATATGAATTTATGGTCAAAGAATAATAAATGCTAAAAATATAATGCGATATAAATAATAAAAAGTCAATTCAATGAACAAATCGCTATATAATTAATGGCAATATTTATAAATAAAGCATTGACTTTTAGGTGACAAAAACCAGTCTTAAAGTCACTATAAAAGTTAAAATGGCCTTAAATGGCTTAAAAATGGCCAAAAAGGTGCTAAAAAGGTGTTAAAAAGTTATGAAAAAGTTATTTATTTCGCATCAAAGTGATACATTCAAAGGTCAATAACATTCAATTTTGAATTAAATTGTATCACAAAGTATTTTTTGAGGTTTTCCGTTTCGAAACTCATTTGTCTGTCGCTTAACAACTGTTTATTAGTCGAACAAAGTTTAATGAAATGCCGATTATGACTAAAAACTATGACTAAAAAATTTTAATATTACATTAAACCTGTTTTCATTTTTGACTTGTTGATTATTTTGTGATTTATCAATTTATGGGGTATAAAATTAGCAAAATAGGCGAAAAGTTACTTAAAAGTTACTAAAGGTGCTAACGTCCCAAAAGGTGCTAAAAAGGTGAAATAAAAATCTATAGTAGAATCTCAATAATTATTTTATTTAAACCGTGTTTTTAGTATAAAATGGTTATAATAAAAGTTACTAAAGGTGCTAACGTCCCAAAAGGTGCTAAAAAGGTGAAATAAAAATCTTCCAAAATACTCCTTTGGTAGTATATGGTATGCCCCCAAACTTTCAGGAGGTTCTCCGCTTTCGGAACATAAAGTTATTTAACTTCAAATCAATGCTTTATTTATAACTCAATAATGGATTCAATAATGGATTCAATAATTAGTGAAAAGTCACTCAATATTAGTATTAATGATATTTTGTGTGAATTAATGGTTGAAAACAAACGACTTTTAAATGAGTTATTGTTTGCAAACAAATGTTTAAATCAATTGAAAATACATTTAATTAAAATTCACTCAAAATATGAAACACTTATTGATTCAGAAGACAAACACAACTTCGAGGTATTGTCTCAACCTTTGGATCAATTGATGATTAAATGCGAAGACAATGAAACTATTGCTGAAAAACTCATCGCCGAAGACAGTCATCGAGAGTCGAGTGAATCCACAAAAAGACAATCAATGGATGAAAGAGTTGTCCACAAAAGAAGACCATTAAAACCAAAGCCCATTAAAAAGCGAGTGATTTGTAAACCAGTGGTTGAAGTTATTAAACAAGACTTTAAGAAGACTTCAGTCAAGACTAACACTAAAACAAATGCCAAACAAATGAATGACAACAACGAAGACATGAGTGAAGAGTCGGACGAAAGTTATGTCGAAGAATTGGGCGAAGAATCAGACGATAGTTATGTCGAAACGAAGACATATAAAGCAAACAAAAGACACAAATCGGCAAAAAGTGGTTCAACATCGAGGCCTTCTTTTTTGATCTCAAAATTCAACGAAAGACAGAAAATGTTTGATTTGACCACAAATTCATACAAATGTCGGGAAACTGATTGTCACAAGACTTTCTCAACGGACGAAAAATTTCAAAAACATTTATATAGATATCACACAAACCGGTGGTTTAAATGTGAATACAATGGATGTGATAAACAGTATGCACTGAGACATGACCTCAAAGTACATGAAATCAAACATAAATCGGGGAAAAGTGGTCCAACTCTTCTGACACCAGATTTCAATGAAAGGCAGAAAATGTTTGATTTGACCACAAATTCATACAAATGTCCAAAAACTGATTGTCAGAAGACTTTTGGAACCGATGAAAGATTTCGAATACATTTATATAGAAACCACTCAAACCGAGTGTTTAAATGTGAATACAATGGATGTAATAAGCAGTTTAATCTCCCGTTTCGGCTCACGGCTCATATGGCCACACATTCTAGTGATAAACCATTTAAATGTGATTTTAATGGATGTTTGTATGAAACGAGTACTAAAGCCTGTTTACGTACTCACACGCAGACACACAACACAAACAGAAAATTTGTGTGCGATTTCATTGGTTGCGAGAAGACATTCACGAGTTTTAGTGGTCTATACGATCACCGGCGCAGACATCAAAGTGGACCGACATATAAGTGTTCCACCAAAGGATGTGTTGACATGTTTTTCTCGTTATCTCAACGCCGTAAACATCAGGTCTCAGTCCACGGCCGGGCGCCCAGACCTGTACGCATACATCGGTGCGATTGGCCGGGATGTGAGTGGACGGGCATTAATATACATAACCACAAACTGCAACACACGTGTGAGAAGAGGTTCCCGTGTTTATGGCCAGAGTGTGGCAAACGGTTCGCTCGCGTCGACAATTTTAAATACCACATGAATATTCATAACAACGTTAAGCCCTATGCGTGTCATTGGCCCGGATGTACACATAGTTACGCACAGTTAGGCAATCTTACGTCACATATCAAACGATTTCACACCAAATGAATAATTGTCTGACAATTATATAAGACATCACTTGACGGGTACTCCACGGCTGCCATTGGTTTGGCCTTTAAATAGACTTCGAGACAAACTTGACATCTAATCGCCGGACACTTATTGTAATGGATGTTGTATTTAATCGTGTGATCAAAATCATGTCATCTCAAGATTTGTCAAAAGAATAGTTTTTATGATAAATGAATTTTTAATAAAACAATTTTTGCGATAAATTATGTCTGAATTTGTATTTAATTTAATTATTTATGCATAACTTATGATTTTCTTAAGACATTTGATATGTTTTATTGAGGTATCCATTAATTGTTAAAAAAAATGTTTCATTAATTTTAAATTTGTTTCAAAAATTTCTCATTCTCTTTGTATTTAATATGTTTTTAATGAAATTTGTTTCAAAACTAAAACTTTTACTGAAAACATACATATGTAAAGTTTATATCCGTATGAATTAGATATTGAGAGGCAAAACATTGATTGACAGCTCGAGCTGTTTATTAACTTAACTAAATTAGTTGTTTATTTATAAATCAATTTCCGTTATGTAATGATCGCATGTATATATTAAATATTATATGAATCACAAATAAAGTGCCAAAAATATAACTTGTTATATAAGTTCTATACTGTATATGTTGAACAAATTGATTATATCAATATCTAGATAATTATTTGATATTGCACTAACCATAAGTTTGGCGTTTAAATGGTTTACTTGATTTCATATAACAATCAAACTTTAAGTTTGCTATCAATCAGAATTCAAGGATTCACTGATAAATACTTTATATATTAATCAAATAATTTACAAACATTTCTTTTAATATTGATTAAAATTTTAATACCAAAAATACAGCATTAATGGCATCAGAGGTTTAATAAATTTATAAATTGTATAAAAAATAACACAATTATTCATTTCAATGGCAAATCAGGTGATCAACTGTCGAGCGGCCGTCTTCTGGGAGGCGGGGAAACCGCTGACCATTGAGAACATAACAGTGGATCCGCCGAAAGGGGGCGAAGTGCGGGTCCGTATGGTGTCGGCCGGTCTGTGCGCCTCCGATGCACACTATATATGGGGCCAACAGACGGACGCCGACACCAACTTTGAGGGCAAACCAACCGTATTGGGTCACGAGGGGGCCGGAGTGGTCGAGTCGGTGGGCGAAGGCGTGACCAGTGTTAAGGCCGGCGATCACGTCATACCCCTATGGATGCCTAACTGCGAGAAGTGTGACCTCTGCGCTCATCCGAAGACCAACTTTTGTCTTAGCGTTAATCCGTTTGAAACAATGTATCACCAAAATAGAGAAACTCGTACTAAACTCAATGGCAATGATTTGCTATTATTTGGTAAGTTTAGTATTGTTTGCGTAATTATTAACCATGATGTGTATATTCATTATTTATCATGTTTAATAGCGGGCACAGGCACTTTTTCCGAGTACACTGTGATCCGGGAAACACAGTTAGCAAAGGTATGGGTTTTATTTGTATTTATATTAATTGATTTGTGGTTAAAATCTCTTTATTATAATTGCAGATCAATCCGAGCGCTGATCTGAAGACTGTTTGTGTTATTGGTTGCGCTGTTGGGACGGGTTATGGCAGTGCTATCAATATAGCTCGAGTACATCCCGGAGCCAAATGTGCGGTTTGGGGTTTGGGTGCCATCGGGTTGTCGGCTCTGTTGGGTTGTAAACAGTCCGGCGCTCACACTATCATTGGTATTGACATCAATCCCGACAAAGAGAGTGTCGCCAAAGAGTTTGGTTGCAATCAATTCATTAATCCTAAAACACTCGGTCTGTAATGGGTTTGAAAAATATTTAATAATTAAAACTAATTTTAATTGAATTGCTATTCAGACGAACCGATTGAAAGTTATTTGCAGAAAATGGGAGGAATTGATTACGCGTTTGATTGCATCGGTAACCAACAGGTGCTCGACTCGGCCTACAAATCATTGAGCTATTGGGGTTCACTCACTATTATTGGTACTCAATATTGTTGTAATCATCAAAAGTAATTGTAAATTAAAATCAAATTTGTTGACAAAGGTTTGGGTCCGAAGGGTAATAAAGTGGACACAAAAGTGGGTGACTTTCTAATGGGCCGTTCAGTAAACGGCGGACTTTTCGGCAATTATAAGCCCCGAAAAGCGAATCAAGAAATGGTTGACAAGTATTTAAGCGGTTCTCTACCTATCGATGGCTTAATTACACAAAGAATACGTTTGGATGAAATCAATGAAGGCTTTGATGGTTTGAAAGCCGGCAAAACAGTCCGCACTGTCATTGACTTTTAAAAGGAAAATAAATCAATTATAATATTTATGAGTTTATAAAACAACTAAAATATGATTTTAAAAAATATTTTTGTCGTTTAAAACGGACAATAAGTTAATTGTTTATTTTACTTTACATATTATTAAAATTCATAATAATGTTATTCTTTAATATTCTACAAAAAGACTAATAGTCTTAAACTACATTTGTCGCCATGTATTTAAAATGTGTTTAAAATAAAGACATTGATTATACAGTTCTGTATCTGATTGTAAACTTTATCAATATTTCTGTTTAATAAAACTAAACGAAAATTATTAACTCAAATATTGTTTACATATAACTAAATAGCGATTAGACATACATTAAAATATGCTTTTGAATTGCATTGATTGGTAGAGTACTTTCATAACAGGTTTAGAAAAAAAAACTCATAAAACATGTCATCAAAGGTATACGAAATGAGTTTCAATTTAAACATAAAATAAATTTAATATTAAACTGTAATCATTGAATGGCATCGACAGGTGATCTCATGCCGGGCGGCAGTGATGTGGTCGGAGGGAACGCCACTGAAGGTGGAGAACATAACAGTGGATCCGCCAAAAGTGGGTGAAGTGCGCGTACGTATGGTGTCGGCCGGTGTCTGTGCCAGCGATGGCCACTTCATATGGGGTCACGAAACGGACCTGAGCTACGAGTTTGAAGGCAATCCGGTGGCGATGGGTCACGAGGGGGCCGGTGTTGTCGAGTCGGTGGGCGATGGCGTGACCAGTGTTGAGGTCGGCGACAAAGTGATGCTCCTATGGATGCCTGAGTGCGGCCGATGCGCCCTCTGTGTCAGCCCGCAGACCAACTTCTGTCTGGCGGCCAATAAATACACGGTTTTATATCACGACAACAGAGAGACCCGAATGAAAATCAATGGCAAACCTCTCCTCTCATACGGTATTTATATAAAAATCATGTCTTGTTTTGCGTGTCGTTAAGAATTTTGATGTATTTTAACTTATAATTGGACACCACTTCCCAACAGCCGGTGTCAGCACTTTCTCCGAGTATGTGGTCGTCCGTGAGATACAGTTAGCGAAAGTAATTTTAATTTTAAATTATTGTAAATTTACAATTATATTAATTAATTTTTTCGTGCATTTATTTTTAAGCTCAACCCAAGCGCTGATTTGTTGAAAGTTGGTGTCATTGGTTGCGCCGTTGGGACGGGTTATGGCAGTGCTGTCAATATAGCTCGAGTACATCCCGGAGCCAAATGTGCGGTTTGGGGTTTGGGTGCCATCGGGTTGTCGGCTCTGTTGGGCTGTAAACAGTCCGGCGCTCACACTATCATTGGTGTTGACATCAATGCCGACAAAGAGAGTGTCGCCAAAGAGTTTGGTTGCAATCAATTTATTAATCCTAAAACACTCGGTCTGTAATGGGTTTGAAAAGTATTTAATATTTAAAACTAATTTTAATTGAATTGTTATTCAGACGAACCGATTGAGAGTTATTTGCAGAAAATGGGAGGAATTGATTACGCGTTTGACTGCATTGGTAATCAACAGGTGCTCGACTCGGCCTACAAATCACTCACCCCTTGGGGTTCACTCACTATTATCGGTAACCAAATTGCTTATAAATATATCAAAATTAAAATAAAAATAATTTCTATATGTGAAGAGTATTTAACATTTGATTTTAAAACCTTGATTACAGGATTGGGTCCAAAGGGCAATGGATTGAATGTAAAAGTGGCGGAACTAGTGAAGGGTCGGTACGTTTTGGGCGGCTTTTTCGGCAATTATAAGCCGCGTAAAGCCAACCAAGAGTTGGTCGACAAGTATATGAACGGCACGCTTCCCATCGATGGCTTAATTAGTAATACAATACCTTTGGATGACATTAATAAAGGTTTCGACGATTTAAAGGCCGGAAAGACAATACGGACTGTCATTGAGTTTTGAACACTAATTCACTGATTATATGTTCATATAATAATATTTTCCATTTAATGTGTTATAATAAATGATAAAATAAAATAGGATGTAAACGTATTTATCATGGTTACTTTAAAATAAGATTTTAAATGCAGCTAGTTCAAAATAATTCATTTTTGTTTGATTACAAAAATTCCTAGTTGCATGAGTTTGAAATTTGTCAAATTTAACTAGTTTTGTGTAGATATGAAAGTAAACTTATAGATTAATATAAAAATACGATAAATGTAAATTAAACTAAAAGTTTTAAAAATATATAAGTGAAAAAAATTAATTATAATTTACTCGCATTGTTATCATTAGACAATTTTTGTCGGTACTTTAAGACATTATCTCTCAAAAGGGTATTAACATAAAGATATTGATTTTTATTTATCACTACTATATTTGATAATTCAAATCGATGTTTATTTAACACGAATCCATTGGTTAACCGCAAAAACTAATCTACTGTGTGTTATATTACTGAACTTAAACTTTAAAATGAACTAGGGCAAAAAACTCATTTAACATAATAGTACAGTATTTAGCTATCATTGCTTATGCCCTTTGTATTAAATATTTATGCTATAATAATATAAGTATAGATAATACAAAGGGCACAAGTAATAAATGTTAAATATTGTATACAGATTTATGAAATATTCAAAGTATTGAGAAATTAATTGTGAAATTAAGTATAATTTCAATAATGAAGTTAATTTAGACTTCAGTTCAGTATTGCAATTGTTATTAAATTTATGTTAAATAATGTCAATGTATTGTAATTTAATATGAATTTTAATAAGTCCTTCTATCAAGTTCAACTCAAAGTTTGGTTTACTTTACTACACAATTGTGTCACTGTTTTACACAATCTTATTGCCATTAATTAATACAAACATTGCATTTTAATCAAAATGATAAGATATATACTGTATGTATGAGATTTCTATATCAATATTTCACAAAATATTTCTCACATTAAAATAACACAAAATATTTTCAGTTAAAAGTTTATTCAAAACCTAAACTTATAGTCAAATCACAAATAATGGCTGAAAAGGTTTAAATAAAATATTTTTACAAAAATTAAAAATTGTTTTTATTTGCCATACAATGAATGCACAGGTAATCAATTGTCGGGCGGCTGTGCTCTGGTCGCCGGGAACTCCGCTAACCATTGAGAACATAACAGTGGATCCGCCACAAGAGGGTGAAGTGCGGGTGCGAATGGTGTCGGCCGGTCTGTGCGCCTCCGATGGCCACTTTGTGTGGGGTTGGGATACAGACATAATACTGGACTTGGAGGGTAACCCCTTAGTGATGGGTCACGAGGGCGCCGGTGTGGTCGAGTCAGTGGGTCCGGGCGTGACGAGTGTGGCGCCGGGCGATCACGTGATACCGATGTGGATGCCTGAGTGCGGGAAGTGTGACCTCTGTTCGCATCCCAAAACTAATCTCTGTCTCAGCGGTGATATCGTGTCCTCAATGTATCAGAAGAACAAAGAGACCCGAATGAAGATCAATGGCAAACCGTTGCTTTCAATGAGTATGTTATTATTTTTGCCTGGTTAATAATTTAATGACTAATCATTATAATTTATTAATGCAATTAACTTAATAGCGGGCACCGGCACTTTCTCCGAGTACAATGTTCTTAGGGAGACACAAGTGGCAAAGGTATGGCGTTTATTTGTCCACGTTGTAATTGATTTGTGATTAAAATGTGTGATTTTTATTTTGCAGATCAATCCGAGCGCTGATCTGAAAACTGTTTGTATCATTGGTTGCGCCGTTGGGACGGGTTATGGCAGTGCTGTCAATATAGCTCGAGTACATCCCGGAGCCAAATGCGCGGTTTGGGGTTTGGGTGCCATCGGGTTGTCGGCTCTGTTGGGCTGCAGAGAGGCCGGCGCTCACACTATCATTGGTGTTGACATCAATGCCGACAAAGAGAGTGTCGCCAAAGAGTTTGGTTGCAATCAATTCATTAATCCTAAAACACTCGGTTTGTAATGGATTTGAAAAATATTTAACACTTAAAATTAATTTTAATTGATTTACAATTCAGACGAACCGATTGAGAGTTATTTGCAGAAAATGGGAGGAATTGATTACGCGTTTGACTGCATCGGTAACCAACAGGTGCTCGACTCGGCTTACAAATCATTGTCCCCTTGGGGTGTGTTAACGGCTATTGGTAAATAAATTTACTATAATAACTTTTATTTTATAATTAATTAAAGTAATTTACTTTCAATATTACAAATAATTATAATAGGTTTGGGTCCGAGAGGTAATGGTGTGAATGCAAAAGTGGCGGATCTGGTAATGGGCCGCACAGTTACTGGCGGGCTCTTTGGTAACCAAAAGCCCCGCAAAACTAATCAAGAAATGGTTGAAAAGTATTTAAGCGGTTCTCTACCTATCGATAACTTAATTACACACAGAATACGTTTGGATGAAATCAATGAAGGCTTTGATAGTTTAAAGGCCGGCAAAACAGTCCGCACTGTCATTGAGTATTGATAATTAAATTTAATATCAATTTTTTAAACAAATATAATCTTAATTATGAAATAAAAATTATGTTAATTTGTAGTCTTAATAAATTGTTTATATTTTAATGGTTTATAATTTAAACGAATTTTGATAATAATTTGAAGCAAGGAATGCAATACAGAATTATTTTAAAAATTTGTAATGTAGTAAAGGCCACAAGTGTTTTTATCATGGTTTTATTAAACACACTTTAATAATTTTAATGTATCTTTAAAATTATAATTAAAATAAATAAATTTTTAATTTAAAATAAGATAACACTATAAGGAATTGTTCACTAAAATATAACCAGACCATTCCAAAATAGAGAGGGGGCTTTTATTACTTGAACGTGGTTACTGTTTGACCTTGGTATTATTCTATATATTACTCACAATAAATGTGAATAGTATATGAATAATGTGCACAATTTTTATAAGATTTCCACTATTCTGCCACTTTGGAATCCACTGAATATAACTATTAATTCAAAAATAGGTATTAAGTTAAAATAATCATTAAAAACAGAAAAACATAATTTGCAAAAAAACTGAATGCAATAAACATTTAAATAATTAAAACTAAAATTACAAACAAAACCATCATGTTATTAAGCATCTCGCTGCAAATTATAAATTTTATAAAAGTTATCAACATCCTTTTCGGCCAGATTCAGGTCTTTCATCTGATACAGTGGTAACATATCATCGATGCCGTCGTAAACAGTGGCCCGATTGCCGCCCAGACCGACGGGCAGTGCGTCTACGGCCACGTACTGAGACATCTGCGCCCTCGAGACGAGTAGCACTTTGTCGCCAAAACTCTTGAACATAAAGGGTATTAACTTAAAGATATTGAATTTTATTTTTCATTAAATAAATTTTATCACTACTATATTTGCTAATTAGAATTGATGATTAGTTAACACAAATCAATTGGTTAACCGCAAAAACTACGGTACTGTGTTTTATATAACATATTATATAACATTCTATATAACTATATTAGTTCAACCTAACTTTTGAAATAAACTAGTGCAAAAACGTATAGATAATACATGTAAGGGCACAAGTAATAGATGTTAAATATGGTAAAGACATGGTATTTTACTTATATAATAGTATACAGATTTATGAAATATTTAAAGTTTTGAAAAATCAATTGTGAAATTATTTTAATTTAATTTAGACTTCAGTTTAGTATTGCAACTGTTGTTAAATCTATGTTATATAATGTTGATGTGCTGTAATTTAATAAGTATTTCTATCAAGTTCAACTCAAAGTTTTGTTTACCTTACTATACAATTGTGTCACAGTTTTACATAATCTCATTGCCATTGATGATTACAAACATTGAATTTTAAATGATAAAATATAAGTATGGCAGGATTTTAGTGCAACTTTAGTGCAGTTTTGTCTATAATATACAATACATTTTGTAAAAAAAACAATAATGCAGCTGATTTATCGCAACTATTTTATAGATATATAACATTAACTAAATATTATCAATGTCCTGGCTATAAATATAAGCGATTTATATACCGATATTTCACAAAATATTGCTCACATTAACGCAAAATATTTTCAGTTAAAAGTTTATACAAAATCTAAACTTGTAATCAATTCACAAATAATGGCCGCAAAGGTTTGAATAAGAAAATATTTTTACAAACAAATAATAACTGCAATAATATTGTGTTTGTTTGCCATACAATGAATGCACAGGTAATCAATTGTCGGGCGGCTGTGCTTTGGTCGCCGGGAACTCCGCTAACCATTGAGAACATAACAGTGGATCCGCCACAAGAGGGTGAAGTGCGGGTGCGTATGGTGTCGGCCGGTCTGTGCGCCAGCGATGGCCACCTTGTGTGGGGTTGGGATACAGACCTAATACTAGACTTGGAGGGCAACCCTATAGTGATGGGTCACGAGGGCGCCGGTGTGGTCGAGTCAGTGGGTCCGGGCGTGACGAGTGTGGCGCCGGGCGATCACGTGATACCGATGTGGATGCCTGAGTGCGAGAAGTGTGACCTCTGTTCGCATCCCAAAACTAATCTCTGTCTCAGCGGTGATATCGTGTCCGCAATGTATCACAAGAATAAAGAGACCCGAATGAAGATCAATGGAAAACCCCTGCTTTCAAAGGGTGTGTTGTTGTTTTTACCTTGTTTATAATTTAATGACTGACCATTATGATTTATTAATGCAATTAATAGCGGGCACAGGCACTTTTTCCGAGTACAGTGTTATTAGGGAGACACAAGTGGCAAAGGTATGGCTTTTATTTGTCCACATTGTGATTGAAATGTGGTTAAAATTTTTATTTTTGCAGATCAATCCGAGCGCTGATCTGAAAACTGTTTGTATCATTGGTTGCGCCGTTGGAGGGGGTTATGGCAGTTCTGTCAATATAGCTCGAGTACATCCCGGAGCCAAATGTGCGGTTTGGGGTTTGGGTGCCGTCGGGTTGTCAGCAATGTTGGGCTGCAAACAGTCCGGCGCTCACATTATCATTGGTATTGACATCAATGCCGACAAAGAAAGTGTCGCCAAAGAGTTTGGTTGCAATGAATTCATTATTCCTAAAACACTCGGTCTGTAATGTGTTTGAAAAATATTTAACACTTAAAATTTATTTTAATTCAATTGCAATTCAGACGAACCGATTGAGAGTTATTTGCAAAAAATGGGAGGAATTGATTACGCGTTTGACTGCATCGGTAACCAACAGGTGCTCGACTCGGCCTACAAATCATTGACCCCTTGGGGTGTACTAACGGTTCTCGGTAAATATATATATACTAAAATAATTTTTATTTTATAATTAATTAAAGCAATATTTAATATTTCAATTAATTATAATAGGTTTGGGTCCGAGAGGTAATGGCGTGAATGCAAAAGTGGCGGATTTGGTAATGGGTCGCACAGTTACCGGCGGTCTCTTTGGTAACCAAAAGCCCCGCAAAACTAATCAAAAAATGGTTGAAAAGTATTTAAGCGGTTCTCTACCTATCGATGGCTTAATTACACACAGAATACGTTTGGATGAAATCAATGAAGGCTTTGATAATTTAAAGGCCGGCAAAACAGTCCGCACTGTCATTGAGTTTTGATAATTAATATCAATTTTTTGAATAAATCTTAATTATAAAACAAAATTATTTTAATTTTTAGTTTTAATAAATTGTTAATTTTCATTACTTTAACAAATTTTGATAATAATTTGAACCAAGGAATGTAATACAGAATTATTTTAAACATTTGTAATGTAGTGAAGGCCACAAGTGTTTTAATCATGGTTTATTAAACACACTTTAATATTTTAATGTATGTTTAAAATTATAATTAAAATAAATAAAATTTTTAATTAAAAATAATAATTTAATTAATAAATATAACACTATATGTAAGAACTAAAATATAACTATTAATTCAAAAATTGGTTTTTCTATCTTTAAGTTAAAATAATCATTGAAACAGAAAAAGTAATTGCAAAAAATCAAAATGTAAAGAGCAGTTAAATAATTAAAACTAAAATAACAAACAAAACCATCATGTTGTTTAGGCATCTCTCTGCAAATTATAAACCTTATAAAAGTTATCAATATCCTTTTCGGCCAGATTCAGGTCTTTCATCTGATACAGTGGTAACATATCGTCGATGCCGTCGTAAACAGTGGCCCGATTGCCGCCCAGACTCACGGGCAGTGCGTCGACGGCCACGTACTGAGGCATCTGCGCCCTCGAAACCAACTGGACTTTGTCGCGAAAACTCTTGGACATAAAGTTCTTCATGATCTTCCAGGCGGCCGACATCATGGACGGCATGTCCACCGTTAGGCCCAAACGTAAACCCCGCGGATAATAGTCCAGCATTTTGAGCGTAAACCGGATCAGATCCATGTCCACGTGAGTGACACCTACGCCCTGGTTGTCGTTCACACTGATCCAGCCCTGATTGCCGGCCTCCCGGTCCACCTTCTCGTACTGGTAGGTAATTAATTGACTTATGAGTGGCGTCAGGCCAGCGATCTTGCGGTAGTGTCGCTGCGCGGCCCACATGATTGGCCGGCCCTCCAGATCGCGGCCGATGGACTCGTAGCCCAATATCTTCATCAACTCTTTGGGAAAGTTCTTGTAAGTCCTGTCGTGAACGCCGAACGACTTCTTCCACTGCAAACACTTCGCCATCGCGTCAAACGCCTGATCCGTGGACTCGTACTCCAACACAAACCTCTCCACCTGCCAGTCCTCCGATCGCACCCTTTCCACGTCCACCACGTGGTAGAGGTCCGGGTGTTCGGCCACTTCCGACCCGAACCGATGCCGAACCACTTCTACGGCCGCTTTGTTGGCGAAGTCAGACAATCCGTTCATATCTTTGCTCATTATTTACGGCTGTTTTTAGATTCAAATTTACGTTTTGTTCATAAATTGTTTAATGAGTTTGCGGTTAAAAAGTTTTTATTGAAAGTGTTTTTGTAAGACAAACGTTTGAACAGTTAATAAAATAAGTTTTTACTAATAACTATTGTAATATTTTTAGTAAATGTTATATTTAGTTAAACAATATGTGTGTTTATGTGACAATTGATTGCAAGACATTACATGTAAACATACAATCCATGCCATCAGAGCAGTCATATCGGGGCTGAGTTTTGGCGTCAATTTGTTTTTTAAACATGTTTTAAATGCTTTTTATTTAATTTTTATTCTCGTCAGACAATTATAATTCATTGCAAAATAAAAGTGATGGACAATTGAAAACATAAGTTTTCATCACCAAAACGCACACCAAAATGTACAGATAAAATGATATGTAACTTTACATGATAATTTAACAAATTATTAATTTGAAATTAACCTCAAACAAATCATTCAATAACACATTTTATACCTCTCAATCTGGCCCTATTTTTAATCATGCGCTTATATTTATAATCTTGCTCACTTAGGCATGGTACATTAATTATGCTAATATAATCCAGCCGTTCGCAATGGATCAAAATCTTGTACAGGTACCGATAATTGAGATACACCTGTCCTTCAGTAGGGCTGTCTTTAAACTCGACCATAAGCGTGGTCAAATTGAGAATCTCGGCAATGGCACGTGCAATGCTGGTCATTTCACTATGATCACCTAGCAAACAATCTAGCAAACACAGCGAGTTGAGCGAGATAAAACTTTTGATAACGCTGACAAACGGATCTTTATTGAGTTCCGCATCGACTAGCTTCAGCTGGGTTAGTATCAGGGTAAATTTAGCCTCGCTGAACATGCGCAATAGGGCCGAAGTGCCCGTATGAAAGCGTAGGGACAGCGACTCCAGGTGCTCGAGGGCCAGCACACGCTCGTACTCGGGTCGGGTGTTTATGACCATATCAGCATGGTCGGTAATATCGAGTTCATCGTTCCAATCGCCCCAAAAATTGAGCATGTCCAAATTAAGTGCCCTAAGGTCGGGCATGTCCAATGACTTTAGGGATTGGGCGCTAAGCCAGGGGTGCTCTTTGGAGCCGAAGCGAAAATATCTAATGCCTTTATTATGCGAAATGTTGGCAATGATGGCCTCCTGGGCCGCCGCCGGCATCTTCACAATCTCCTCGTCGGGCACATCCAAGGCCTCGGTGCACATTAACACATTGACCATAAGTAAATTGTTGCGTTGGCTGAGCTCGATGAAGCATTCAGGGTCAAAATCGGGACGATGTATATAAAATTTGAGCTCATCGAGTCGCTCGCAACGGGCAAATAGGTCATACGCGGCCCGATTCTGGTCGTCCGAACTCAGGTCCGGTGCCCACAGTTTGTCGTCGGCCAACATGTGCCGCACGTTTGGCATTAAGGCGTAAAGTGTCATATACCAGGCCTGGGGCTCGAAGTGGGCCCCAGACATGTATACGCACTCGATGTGAGGCGAGTAAAAATACAAGCGCCGTATTAGTGTCCAACTGATTTTGGTGCCGCACAGGTCTATGGATAATACAGTGAAGTATTGGTGTGGCCTGTGGGAGATGTTCTGTTTTGAATATGGTTAAAGTTATAATTAATAAATTTGTATAATTTGTGCCAAATAAATGAACTAGATTTAAATATATAAATATTTCATTATTTACATCTTAAAATATAATTTAATAGCCATTAAAGCATAGATTTCTATGGTTTCAGTACTGTATACTGCAGTCGTATTTATATTCATTTCTTTAAACCCAAAAACAATTATCATTATTGAAAGTATAGGTAAAAGAAGCAAAAAATGCAAACACCTATTTAGCCAATACATCGACATGAATGGCAAGACATTCATCAACTTTACCCTTTCAAAGGTCATAAAGAGTGCCCCAAAATCCAGGATTCACTTACCATTCTGTTATAGACATTGCATCAGAATTTGGTTGAGAGAGAGAGAGAGAGAGAGAGAGAGAGAGAGAACAATACACTAATAAATAATATTATACATTATTCTGTATATCCATATTAAACTTTACTTCAAACCCCAAAGCAAAACTTCAAAATCCAGGATTCACTTACCATTCTGTTATAGACATTGCATCAGAATTTGGTTGAGAGAGAGAGAGAGAGAGAGAGAGAGAGAGAGAGAGAGAGAACAATACACTAATAAATAATATTATACATTATTCTGTATATCCATATTAAACTTTACTTCAAACCCCAAAGCAAAACTTAAAATTATGATTAACTCAAAAATAATTCGCGCCAAATATACATTATATTAGTATAACTGATATATCTTTGCCGTCGTATAGATTTAATCGAGGTATCTTCACGAAATTAATTTTATAATTTAAGGTAACATTCCTAGGCACCAGAAATCAAGTTTCATAAAGATCGGATGATTGGTCTTTATACTGGAAATTTTTAACCGAAGTCAGGCAGAATAATGTATTCCTATGGGAAGGGGGCTGTTTTGTGATTACCTACGCTTGAAATCTCATGTAAATTGATCATGCTCATACGATAATAGAGATAATAGAAAATCCCTACTCTTCCAATATGGTCAATATCTTATGTATATAATCAAATCATATTTAATGTCCAACTCTGTCCTGTGCCTGAACTGTGGCCACTTAATTATTGATAGTCGACCCGATTGGCGGCCTGTGTTCGGTCGGTTCGCATTTGATTCCCGTTATAAATAATGTTGTGATAACTGCTTTAAACTATTGTCGGATAACCAATAGTGAACCCCAATAACCAAATAATAACTCCAAACATTTTTATTGTAAAAATATTTTCAATCTAAAAATATGTTTATTTTCGGTAAAATATTTTGGGCTAAATTTTAAAGAATAATTCTGACTGACACACTTTAAAAATTTCCAGTATACAGACCAATCATCCGATCTTTACAAAACTTGGTTTCTGGTGCCTAGGAATGTTACCTTAAATTATAAAATTAATTTCGTTAAGATACCTCTATTAAATCTATACAAAGGCAAAGATATATCAGTTATACCAATATATGAACATTAAGGCAATTCATTAATTTTTATTGATATTTTGCTCATAGCATATAAATTATTGCTAACAATTTTCTATAAGATTTATGATACAAAAGGAGTTATATTTTGTTCACTACATTTACAGAAGAAATTTAAGTCCAGAGTTATGCTATAATTTGAAAAAATACTTGTCAGTTCTTTTGCGCTCATTCTCTCTCTCTCTCTCTCTCTCTCTCTCAATTTTGTTCAATAAATCATTTAAAAATTAATTTAAATTAAATTAATTAAATAAATTTAACAAAATCCTTTGACATAATATGTTTAACTAGATTAAGATTTTTAAGTTTTGCTTTGGGGTTTGAAGTAAAGTTTAATATGGATATACAGAATAATGTATAATATTATTTATTAGTGTATTGTTCTCTCTCTCTCTCTCTCTCTCTCTCTCTCTCTCAGAATAAATGCTTTTTCAGTACACTATTAAATGCATTCACTAACAAAAAATATACTACTAATTGACTATAAAATAAGTGATAGATTTGAGATATTTTTGTCAGACATTTATTGTTAAAAAACGATTGAATTAAAGCGCTATATATTCTAAAATATTTTTATTTAAAAATTAACTTAAAATAAAATGTGATCAAACGATGACCAGTCGATGGATATAATATATTTTTCTAACTATAACATGTATCTTAATCTAGTTAAACATATTATGTCAAAGGATTTTGTTAAATTTATTTAATTAATTTAATTTAAATTAATTTTTAAATGATTTATTGAACAAAATTGAGAGAGAGAGAGAGAGAGAGAGAGAGAACAATTGTAAACTAATTTATCTGTCAATGGGTTCTATGGGTTCAATAGATGTGAATCTAATGAAGAGATTTGTGGCAATTCTGTCGAAATCCAAACATAAGTTTATTGTTTCGAAAGGATTTCTCGGAAACACATATGAATTGGCGGACAATATGTGGGGCGAGAACTCAGTTCCGCAGACAAAAGTGTTGCCATTAGTAGATCTGGTCATAACACACGGCGGGAACAACTCTGNTTAACGCAAAATATTTTCAGTTAAAAGTTTATACAAAATCTAAACGTATAATCAATTCACAAATAATGGCCGCAAAGGTTTGAATAAGAAAATATTTTTACAAACAAATAATAACTGCAATAATATTGTGTTTGTTTGCCATACAATGAATGCACAGGTAATCAATTGTCGGGCGGCTGTGCTTTGGTCGCCGGGAACTCCGCTAACCATTGAGAACATAACAGTGGATCCGCCACAAGAGGGTGAAGTGCGGGTGCGTATGGTGTCGGCCGGTCTGTGCGCCAGCGATGGCCACCTTGTGTGGGGTTGGGATACAGACCTAATACTAGACTTGGAGGGCAACCCTATAGTGATGGGTCACGAGGGCGCCGGTGTGGTCGAGTCAGTGGGTCCGGGCGTGACGAGTGTGGCGCCGGGCGATCACGTGATACCGATGTGGATGCCTGAGTGCGAGAAGTGTGACCTCTGTTCGCATCCCAAAACTAATCTCTGTCTCAGCGGTGATATCGTGTCCGCAATGTATCACAAGAATAAAGAGACCCGAATGAAGATCAATGGAAAACCCCTGCTTTCAAAGGGTGTGTTGTTGTTTTTACCTTGTTTATAATTTAATGACTGACCATTATGATTCATTAATGCAATTAATAGCGGGCACAGGCACTTTTTCCGAGTACAGTGTTATTAGGGAGACACATGTGGCAAAGGTATGGCTTTTATTTGTTCACATTGTGATTGATTTGTGGTTAAAATTTTTATTTTTGCAGATCAATCCGAGCGCTGATCTGAAAACTGTTTGTATCATTGGTTGCGCCGTTGGAGGGGGTTATGGCAGTGCTGTCAATATAGCTCGAGTACATCCCGGAGCCAAATGTGCGGTTTGGGGTTTGGGTGCCGTCGGGTTGTCAGCACTGTTGGGCTGCAAACAGTCCGGCGCTCACACTATCATTGGTATTGACATCAATGCCGACAAAGAAAGTGTCGCCAAAGAGTTTGGTTGCAATGAATTCATTATTCCTAAAACACTCGGTCTGTAATGTGTTTGAAAAATATTTAACACTTAAAATTAATTTTAATTGAATTGCTATTCAGACGAACCGATTGAGAGTTATTTGCAAAAAATGGGAGGAATTGATTACGCGTTTGACTGCATCGGTAACCAACAGGTGCTCGACTCGGCCTACAAATCATTAACGCCTTGGGGTGTATTAACCGTTCTCGGTATATACTAAAATAATTTTTATTTTATAATTAATTAAAGCAATATTTAATATTTCAATTAATTATAATAGGTTTGGGTCCGAGAGGTAATGGTGTGAATGCAAAAGTGGCGGATCTGGTAATGGGTCGCACAGTTACCGGCGGTCTCTTTGGTAACCAAAAGCCCCGCAAAACTAATCAAGAAATGGTTGACAAGTATTTAAGCGGTTCTCTACCTATCGATGGCTTAATTACACACAGAATACGTTTGGATGAAATCAATGAAGGCTTTGATAATTTAAAAGCTGGCAAAACAGTCCGCACTGTCATTGAGTTTTAATAATTAATATAATCTTAATTATAAAACAAAATTATTTTAATTTTTAGTTTTAATAAATTGTTAATTTTTAATTTTTATTACTTAAACAATTTTTGATAATAATTTGAAACAAGGAATGCAATACAAAATCATTTTAAACATTTGTAATGTAGTGAAGGCCACAAGTGTTTTTAATCATGGTTTTATTAAACACATTTTAATTGTTTTAATTTATGTTTAAAATTATAATTAAAATAAATAATTTCTAAATTAAAAATAAGATAACACTATATGTAAGAATTGTCATCTAAAATATTACTATTATTTCAAAAATTGGTTTTTCTACCTTTAAGTTAAAATAATCATTGAAACAGAAAAAGTAATTGCAAAAAATCCAAATGTAAAAAACATTTAAACAATTAAAACTAAAATAACAAACAAAACCACCATGGTTATTAGGCATCTCTCTGCAAATTATAAACTTTATAAAAGTTATCAACATCCTTTTCGGCCAGATTCAGGTCTTTCATCTGATACAGTGGTAACATATCGTCGATGCCGTCGTAAACAGTGGCCCGATTTCCGCCCAGACTGACGGGCAGGGCGTCTACGGCCACGTACTGAGGCATCTGTGCCCTCGAGACCAACTGGACTTTGTCGCGAAAACTCTTGGACATAAAGTTCTTCATGATCTTCCAGGCGGCCGACATCATGGACGGCATGTCCACCGTTAGGCCCAACCGCATACCCCGCGGATAGTAGTCCAGCATTTTGAGCGTGAACCGGATCAGATCCATGTCCACGTGAGTAACACCTACGCCCTGGTTGTCGTTCACACTGATCCAGCCCTGATTGCCGGCCTCCCGGTCCACCTTCTCGTACTGGTAAGCAATCAATTGGCTTATGAGTGGCGTTAGGCCAGCGATCTTGCGGTAGTGTCGCTGCGCGGCCCACATGATTGGCCGGCCCTCCAGATCGCGGCCGATGGACTCGTAGCCCAATATCTTCATCAACTCTTTGGGAAAGTTCTTGTGAGTCCTGTCGTGAACGCCGAACGACTTTTTCCACTGCAGACATTTGGCCATCGCGTCAAACGCCTGATCCGTGGACTCGTACTCCAACACAAACCTCTCCACCTGCCAGTCCTCCGATCGCACCCTTTCCACGTCCACCACGTGGTAGAGGTCCGGGTGTTCGGCCACTTCCGACTCGAACCGATGCCGAACCACTTCTACGGCCGCTTTGTTGGCGAAGTCAGACAATCCGTTCATATCTTTGCTCATAATTTACGGCTGTTTTTAGATTCAAATTTATGTTTTGTTCATAAATTGTTTAATGATTTTGCGGTTAAAAAGTTTTTATTGAAAGTGTTTTTGTAAGACAAACGTTTGAACAGTTAATGAAATAAGTTTTTACCAATAACTATTGTAATACTTTTAGTAAAAGTTATATTTAGTTAAACAATATGTGTGTTTATGTGACAATTGATTGCAAGTCATTACATGCGAACATACAATCCATGCCATCAGAGCAGTCATATCGGGGCTGAGTTTTGGCGTCAATTTTGTTTTATAAACATGTTTTAAATGCTTTGTATTTTATTTTTATTCTCGTATTCGTCAGACAATTATAATTAATTGCAAAATAAAAGTGATGGACAATTGAAAACATAAGTTTTCATCACTAAACCGCACATTATTATATATGTGCAGATAAACCGATATGTAAAATTTTACATGATAATTTAACAAATTAACCTCGAACAAATCATTCAATAACACATTTTATGCCTCTCAATCTGGCCCTATTTCTAATCATGCGCTTATATTTATGATCTTGCTCATTTTGGCATGGTACATTAATTATGCTAATATACTCCAGCCGTTCGCAATGGATCAAAATCTTGTACAGGTATCGATAATTGAGGTACACCTGTCCTTCAGTAGGGCTGTTTTCAAACTCGACCATAAGCGTGGTCAAATTGAGAATCTCGGCAATGGCACGTGCAATACTTGTCATTTCACCATGATCGCTTAGCAAACAATCTAGCAAACACAGCGAGTTGAGCGAGATGAAACTTTTAATAACGCTGACAAACGGATCTTTATTGAGCTCCGCATCGACTAGTTTCAGCTGGGTTAGTATCCGGGTAAATTTAGCCTCGCTGAACATGCGCAATAGGGCCGAAGTGCCCGTATGAAAGCGTAGGGACAGCGACTCCAGGTGCTCGAGGGCCAGCACACGCTCGTACAGGGGTTGGGTATTTACGACCATATCAGCATGGTCGGTAATATCGAGTTCATCGTTCCAATCGCCCCAAAAATTGAGCATGTCCAAATTAAGTGCCCTAAGGTCGGGCATGTCCAATGACTTTAGGGATTGGGCGCTAAGCCAG